GGGTTTCACCATGTTGACCAGGATGGTCTCGATCTGTTGACCTCGTGATCCACCCGCCTCGGCCTCCCAAAGTGCTGGGATTACAGGCTTGAGCCACTGCGCCCGGCTCCCCAAGGGATTTCTACACATGCTAAAGTTTAAGAATCGGTATTCTGGGTGTGGCTGATAGTGGGAAAGTGCTGCCCTTTCAGGCTGAGAAAAGTGTATGGTGGCTCAACTGAGGTCAGGAGTTTGAGAGCAGCCTGGCCAATATGGTGAAACCCCATCTTTACTAAAAATGCAAAAATTAGTCATGCGTGGTGGCGTACACCTGTAATCCCAGCTACTAAGGAGGCCGAGGCAGGAGAATAGCTTGAACCTGGGAGGCAGAGGTTGCGGTGAGCCAAGATCACGCCACTGCACTCTAGCCTGGGTGATAGAGCGAGACTCTGTCTCAAACAAAACAAAACAAAACAAAACAAAATCTGGATGTTTTTAATCAGCAGGGTCTCATAGGATGCATGTGAAATTGCTTAAGGATTTAACAGATGGTATTTGAGGTTGCTGTTATTTTTGAGAAGTCTTTTAGACAGAAGAAACCCCCTAAGAACTAGGAGATAGTCTGTGAACCTGCTTTGAGGTTACAAAGCGGGTGGTGTCTGACGGTCACTTGCAAAGAGCTGATAACTCGAGCAAGCATGTTAAACAAGTCCCATTGGACTCTTGTTGTCCAGCCGTCATGCTGCTTTTTATAGCACTGACCACATCTGAAGGAATTCCAGGAGACTAACTTATGTGTATAGTGACACTCCCTGTGGCTTTCCCCGCTGCACTCCAGCCTGGAGAAAGCTACATGAGCAGGGAAAGGGGGAAATGACCCAACATGAGATGACTCTGGCTAAAATAACTTGTACCAGACTCAGGAAACAGCTGAACCAAGGGGTTCACGCAGTGAATGTGACTTAATTGGTGTCTCCAGCCTGCTCAGGCTCCTGAGTGCCAGGCCCACACTGCTGTCTCTGATCACAGATCTTCTAGTTCCCCCAGCCTGCCCAGGGAACAGACATGCCCTGAGCTCCCAGCCCGGGCCAATGCCTGAGAGAAGCTCTCCCTCTTCCTTCTTCCCATGCCATAGGAGTCCCTAACTCCTCTTAACCTTTTGAAAGGTTTCTACTCCTCCCCATTTTTTTAGAGATGGGGTCTCATGCTAGGCGAGGTGTCTCATACCTGTAATCCCAGCCCTTTGGGAGGCTGAGGCGGGAGGATCACTTGAGGACAGGAGATTGAGACCAGCTTGGGCAACATGGTGAAACCCCGTCCCTACTAAAAACAAAACAAAACAAAACAAAAAACAAAATTAGCCGGGCATGGTGGTTCATGCCTGGCATCCCAGCTATTCCGGAGGCTAAGGCAGGAGAATCACTTGAACATGGACACAGGTTGCAGTGAGCCAAGATCGCGCCACTGCACTCCAGCCTGGGCAACAAGAGCAAAACTCCATCTTAAAGGAAAAAAAAAAAAGAGATGGGGTCTCACTATGCTGCCTAGGCTGGTCTTGAATTCCTGGGCTCAAGTGATCCTCCTGTCTCAGCTTCCCAAAGTGCTGGGGTTACAGGCGTGAGCCACCATGTCTGGCCTCTACTCCATCTTTATCAATCCTAATAGCACAGCCCTGGTCCTGTCTCAGATCTGAACATACACTGTAACTTTTGGCAGTGCAGTTCTCCCCAAGTCTCACTGCT